CAGCCAGGCCCGGAACAGCTCACTCCTCGCCTGCCCCTGCCCCAAGGCTGCCTCTCAGACATGGCTGGAAACTTTTGCGGGAACTTGAGGGTCTGCTGAATCAAGTGATGAAGGCTTAGATCTGGATGTGTTGAGTTAGTATAGGGCTGGGGTGTTGATCTGTGAGTGCCTTGTGCGGGGCCTGGATGAGGTTAGTTGACCTATTTGGAAATGTCTTTTGTGTGAAGTGTATCTTTGGGCATGTGGAGGTATTATTGATATGAGAAAATGCTAAGTAATTGATTTACTATCTGAAAAGGGATTTACTATCGGGGAAAGGGAGGGAGGAAGAAACTGAACATAAACTGTGCACCTATGGATGAGGACAATGGGGGAGGGGAAGGGGCCGGAGGGTGGGGTGGGAACCTGGTGGAGGGGGGAAGAAATGAGGAACCTTTGTAATAATATGAACAATAAAGATTGATTTTAAAAAAAGAAAAGAAAAGAAAAGAAAATTCAGAGAAACAACAACAAAAAAAAGAAAGACAGAAAGAAAGAAAGAAAGAAAGAAAGAAAGAAAGAAAGAAATCTCAGCATATCACGAGTTTAAAATCTAAATGGAAATGTTAGCTGTCAAGAATTGTAGTCACTTCTGAAAAGTCTGAGAGACTTGCATTTTAAGACAAGAAGATTTTTATAAAGCTAAAGCAATTAAGACATATACCAAAACAAAAATGGACAATTAGCCCTATGGACAACTAAACAGAGCCCAGAAAATGACCCAAGCAATGTAGCTGTATGGCCAGAATTTATGACCAACGTGGAACTAGACGCAGTGTTTCCCAAAGTGTGGTACGCGTACCCCCAGGGGTACGGGAAGAGTTTGGTGGGGATATGCACTGCACCGTGCTTAGCTGCGCCTAATTCTACGTTCTCATGAGTACTAGGGGTACTCAGCGTTACGAAATTATAGAAGGGGCACACATGTCAAAAGTTTGGGAAACACTGAACTAGAGAATAGTGTGAAAAGGTCTTTTCATAAAATGTCATGGGACAATCAGATATCATTATAGGAAAACACACAAACACTCACACACACAACTACTCTGCTTCTTCACAGGACACAGAGAGCAATTACAGATGCCTGAGAATCTAAATGGAAGAGACAAAACAACTAAAATTTGTAAATGATAAAAATAATACCTTCATGACATGGAGATCAAGATTTCATTGAAAGGACACAAAGGGCACCACCCACAGGAAAAATAGCTCACGAGGGTTCTGTCCACCGCCTTCCCCCAAAAGTTACTACTAAGAGAATGAAAAGTAAGAGTCTGATGGGAGAGGGGGTTGGTAGCACACCATGGTCACGTGTGCCTTCCAAAGAAGGCCTCAACAATCCTCCCATTTCACACTCTTTTCTGCATGGACCTTCCCTCTCCTGCTCCAAGGACGGGAGAGTGTGTCCCCAGGCCGGCTGTGACTGCTATGAAGTTGTGTTCTCCGCCAGGCTTCCTGGAAGCCAGCTCAGTACCCTGAGACGGGCAGGCTGGAGAGGCCAGGGTGGCCACTGACAGCCCCAGCCAAGCTCCAGATAAGTCAGCATCAACTGGTGGCCACGCCACCCAGCCAAGCCCTCCGAGGGCTGGCAAAGAGGCCCCAAGAGAGAATTACCCAGCAAACTCTTCTCAAATCCCTGACTCACAGCTATAGGCAAAATCAGAAAACATTGCTGTTCTACACCACCACGTTTTGGAGTAATTCGTTACACAGCAGTAATAATCAGAACTGGCAAGGACTCATATGCAGAATATAAAACAAATTCCTACAGACCAATAAGAAAAAGACAATGGCTGGTAGGAAGGAGCAAAAGATTTGAAATCGAAATGGTCAGTTATAAACAAGTGCTCAATCTCAGCAGTAATTAAGGAAAAACTATTGGAAACCATATGCCATGGATACCACTAGAATGGCTAAATTTTAAAAATCAAAACGGACGGTGCCATGTCAGTACGATGGAGGGAGAGCACAGGGAACTAGTGACTGCCATGGGATGCAGAGTGGTACAATGAATGAAAACCGGTGTCACTGTCTACGGAGTGGAAGATCACATTCTGTGATCTAGCAATGTCACTCCTAGACACGTACCCGGAGCACAGGACACAGTACACAAAGGGACTCCACAGAAGTGCGCGCGCCCTGCCCGGTGCCGTCCGTGGTTAGAGCGTAAGCGTGTGCACCAAAGGGATCATTTCCTGGTCCAGGGCACACACCTGAGTGGTGCAGGAGGCAACCAATTGTGTCTTTCTCACATCGATGTTTCTCTCTCTCTCCCCTCCCTGCTTCCACTCTGAACAGCAATGGAAAAAATAGCTTCAGGTGAGAATTAATAAAAATAAAAAATAAAAATGAAGAAGAAGAAGAAGAAGAAGAAGAAGAAGAAGAAGAAGAAGAAGAAGAAGGAGAAGAAGAAGAAGAAGTGTTCATACAGTAAAGTTGAAAACCGGTAACAGCCCAAACTTCCCTTACAGTTCATACATGGACAAATAAATTGTTTTCACGCAGTGGAAAACCGTATCAATGAGCAAAGCACAGCAATACACGTGATTTTCAGAAAAGATGCTGAGCAAAAGAATATATATGAAATGAACTCATTTAAATAAGATTTAAAAACAAACAAAACACGTACTTGGGTAGTAAAATGACAAAGAAAGGCAGGGGGTGGTAAGCCAGGGTGTGGGGACTGGGGAGGGTTTGTGGGGGAAAGGGGCTTCTGCCGTCCTGATGCCATTCTGTACCCCTGATCTGGGGTGGGTGCATGGGTGTGTGCTTTGAATTGTACATTTATAATACATTGGTATGGACTTTCCATGTGTGTCACATCTCACAAGAATATGTCTTAATTTGAAAACTAAAAAATATTGGAAGAAAATAAATATATGAGTGAAAAAAATCTAACTTCATTTACTATTTGATTGCCTAGTTTCCTCCACTTTGTTTATTAAATCAGCAAAACTATCCCCATTGATTTGCAATTCCAACTTCATAAAATATTCACTTCTTTTTAAAAATATATTTTTATTGGCTCAGAGATGAAGGAAGAGGGAAAGAGAGAGAGAAACATAAGTGATCATCTGCTGCCTCTTGCATGCCCCACACTGGGATTGAGCCTGAAGCTGGACAGGAGCCTGGTGAGCTCTCCACCCTCCTGTGGGCGCAGCTGGTCGTGATTCCAATCGTGGCCTCCTGGTTCATGGGTCCACACTCAGCCACTGAACCTATGCCTCGGGCAGGGCATGTTACACTTGTCAACAGCCTGTTCTTGGTTTTTGGCTAGGATGAACGGATCGGGGGAGGGGTGGGGAAAGGGTGAATGAAGAGAATAAAAGCAGAGGGAGATAGGCATCGCAATGGGACCTGTATTTATTTACGAGAGGCCCAGTGCACGAAATTTGTGCACAGGTCTGGCCGGTGATTAGGGCCAATCTGTGGGGCGATCTGGGAGGCCCCCACTGACACCCACGTTGGCTGGCCTGGCCCCACCCGCTCACTGGCCCCACCACCCCAAAGCTGGTAGCCTCCCTCTGTGGGGCAATTGGTGGGGCAATGGAAGGGGGCGCCCCTGCTGGCCCTACCTTGGCTGGCTTGGGGCCTGCAGGCTGGGCGCAGCTCCTGAATTGAGTGTTTGCCTCCTGGTGGTCAGTGTGCATCATAGCAACTGGTCATTCCACCGTTCAGTTGATTTGCATATTAGGCTTTTATTATATGCCAGAGGCCTGGTGCACTAAATTCGTGCACTTGAGGGGGAGGGTCCCTCAGCCAGGCTGGCACCCTCTTGCAGTCCAGGAGCCCTGGGGGAATGTTTGACTAATGGCTTAGCACTGCCACAAGGAGGGAGAGGCTCCCACCACTGCCACTGCACTCTCCAGCCATGAGCCTGGCTTTGAGCTGAGTGACATTTTCCCCTGTGGGAGCACACTGACCACCAAGGGGCAGCTCCTGTGCTGAGCGTCTGTCCCCTGGTGGTCAGTGCGCATCATAGCACCAGTCATTCTGCCATTCAGCCGATTTGCATATTAGCCTTTTATTATATAGGAGGATTTATTTATTGGTCAATCTTCACCAGGGAATATTTTTTTTGAAGCTATTTAAGAAGATGATATTTTTCTTTTCTTTCTTTTTATCAGAGGGTATTTTATATTGATTTCCAGAGAGAGTTGGAGAGAAGAAGAGAGGGGAGGAGGAAAAAGAGAGGGAGAAGGAGAGAAGGGAGAGAGACATCATGTGAGAGACACATGGATTGGTTGCCTCCTGCTCATGCCAGCACCCAGGTGGGAGTTGAGCCTGCAATGCAGGTACTATCCCTGACCGAGAATAAAACCCTTGAGCCGTCCTTGCGCAGGCCCATGTTCTAACTAGTGAGCAACACCAGCCAGGGCGAGGTTTATTTTTAAATAGGAAAAGTCTAGAAACAACTGGAAAGAGAAAGGAAGTCATTGGGAAGGTTGCCAAGTCAGAGAGTAAAGTGTCACCTGATAAAAGAATGAGCTCAGAGCAAAGCTATTCTGGGGAGACCCAGATTAGCGGGCTGCAGGGTGGAGGTGCGCCTCCCGGGATGCCCCCCGCGGCACACACAGCCGCCGTCGCAGCATGGAGGTGGCAAGGAGAAGTCTGAGGAATGTTCCCAAACACTGGACACATAGCTACCTTTAATTACAGTATTGCTTTTTTTCTTTCTTTCCTTAAATGTAGCATTTGCTGATGGGAGAAGGTTAAAGGGAAACACGCGCTGCCACTTTTCCTCCGGCCCTGGCTGCTGGGCTGCGTTCCCCAAGGCGCAAGCGCAGGTCCCGCGGGGCGCTCCGGCCTCCCGCCCCCGGATTCCCCGCTCCCCCCCTCCCCTCCGCCCCCCCCCCCCCCCCCGGGGCCCGGCCGGACCCCCTGCCGAGGGCGGGGCCGAGGTGCGGGGCGGCCCCAGGCGTGCCCGCCCCGCCCCGCCCCGCCCGCCCGCCGCCGGCCGGGCCGCCCGCCGCGCGCGCCGGCAGAGGCGGCGGTGGGACCGCAGCGGAGATGCCTCGCGGCGCCGCGCTGTGCCTGCGCCTGTGGCTCCGCCTGTGGCTCTGCCTCGGACTCCTGGACGGCGAGCGCGGTGAGCTCTGCGCGCCCGCGGCTGCCGCGAGGGGGGCCCGCGAGGGGGGCCCGACCGGGGCGAGTGGGGCCGCCCGACGGGGGCGGGCGGGGAGCGGGCGCCCGGAGCGGGGCCGGAGCCCGGAGGCGGACACGCGCGGCCCCGGGAGGGGAAGGGCGGCCAGGCGCCGGCTCCGCCGCTCCGCGCAGGGGAGGTGCGGTCCCCCCGCCCCGCCGTCCGCGGCTCGGCTCCCGGCCGGCCTGGCCGCGCCGCGCTGCCCCGTCCTTCGCTGCCCGCACCCCGCACCCCGATCCCCCGTCCTTCGCTGCCCGCTCCCCGCACCCCGATCCCCCGTCCTTCGCTGCCCGCACCCCGCACCCCGATCCCCGATCCCCGCTCCCCGGGGCCCGGCCGCTCCCGCGCGCCCACGCCCGGCCCACCGGTGCGCACTCCCCGGCGCCTCGGGTCCGCGCTGAGGTCGGGCCGCAGGGGGCGCCCCGGGCTGGTCCGCCTTCTCCGGAGGCCGGGGCGGCTGCGGGGCCGCTGGGCTGCGGGATCCGGCAGGTGAGCCCGGTCGCTGCGGCCGCGCCGTCGGGGACCGTGCGCCGCGCGCGCGGAGCCTGAGGCGGATCCTGAGGCGGAGCTGGTGAGCCGCGGGCCGGACGGAGAGGCCGAGGCCGCCCGGCTCGGGGGCGCGGGGATCTCCAAGGCCGGGCCGGGAGCTGGGCCCCGGCGGGCCCCGGAGGGGAGGTGGGCGATGGGAGCGGGGCGCGGGCTGCGCTGCGGTGGAGGAGAGGGAGGCGTTGGGATCAGAGGGGTCTCCGCCCCAGGCCCGGTGACCTGGTCCCCAGCGGCGGGGGCAGTGCTGGGAGGTCTGAAGGGAGCGGTGGGGCTCACCGTTTTTGGAAAACGGGGCGGGGGGGGGGGCAGTGAAGACTGGCCGTGTAGGCCCCGTCGCCTTTGCTAGGCAGCCTCGCCGGGAGTGAGAGGTTCCTCGGATGCGCGCTTAGGCAAGGACCCATGTGACTCCTCTCCGTCCCCAGGCAGCCAGGCCTTTGGGAGCAGAGCCTCAGGGCCGAGGGTGCGCCCCGGAGGCGGCGGAGGGCTTCTGTCTGGGCCTCACGCTGGACCAGTCTGAGCTGGCCCCGCCACGCCAGGCTCTCCTCACCCCTGCACCCAGCCCGGGCCAGGCTGTCTCAGGGACTGGGTGTTTGTTGAGTGGCTGAATGAGCGTAGGAGGGGAAGTGCATGGGTCCCTGCTGGACGGAGTGGGTGGGAGACACCGGCAGGCAGCTGGGGTGGTGAATGAGGCTGGGCTGGGAGCCAAAGGGGAGCAGAGGAGAGGCCGGGCTGGGAGCCCCTCCCGGAGGGGCCGAGAGGGAGCGGCATCCTGGGAGATGGGAGACTCGGGGCGAAAGCCCCAGGAGAGCTGGTGTCCTGGCGCTCGGCAGGGAGGAGGAAAGCGGTGAGGCCCCTCTGCACTGAGCACAGGCGGCTCGCACGGAAGCTGGGCAGCTGGCAGTGACGGAGGAGGCCATGGTAGCTGATGGGGCGGTGCCCAGGCTGGCTCGGGCTCCGGGCTTGGCTGGTGGGAAGCTGCCCACGGAGGGGAGAGGAGACCTTGCTGGCTTCTGAGCCTGCTCCTGCCCCAGCCACTGCTGTGGGGAGACCGGCCTGATGGGGGGCGGGGGCTGGAGCAGAAGCAGACACTGAGTTAGTGTCAGCCCAGCCAGAGTGGGCGGCCAGGCCGGCAGGTGAGAAGCTTAGGGACCCCAAAGCTGGCCTCTCCTGGTGCCAGACCCTGACCGCTCTGCCCCTGGCAGTCGCTGGGTGCCTGGCGCCTCTCCTCCTCTCCCAGGCGCAGGGCGGCGGCTGGCGATCCCGAGGGCTGTGCCTGGGCTGGCCTTCATGGCCTGGCGTCGGGGTCCGTTCCGGAACGTTCTCGGCAGGGTCCCTGTGGGGGCGGGGGGCAGCGGCGCGCCCGGGAGGCTTTGACTCCTGGGCTCAGTCTGGAGAGGCGGGCTGCACCTCGGGGCGGGGGCGGCAGCTCAGGGGCAGGAGGGAAGCAGGTGGCCCTGGGCAGCTGTCCTGGCCCCTGTGCGAGCTGCGTGGCACCGGGCGTCCTCGGCCTGCGCCAGGCCCATGTGCTCGGGACAGAGGGCGGGATGGGGCAGGGATGCGAGCTGGTGCAGGCAGGGTGTGGGCCTGGGCCCACGGGATTGGTGCCTGACACGCTGGCCCCGCTCAGTGCCCCGGGACATGGATGTGCATGCAGGTGCCGCTCACCAGCCTGGAGTCAGTGTGGCCGAAGGTCCTGCCCAGAGCACAGTGGTTGTGAGTGTCACCTGTGGCGCTCAGGGGGGCCTGAGTGTCAGACCAGCAGGAGCACAGCCGGGGCCTCAGACGCCTGGCACCGGGTCACAGGCGCTCGGTGACCCCGGCCGCCCAGCTGTGGCTGCACAGGAAGGCAGCGGCACTGCCAGCCCGGAGCTTTCTGGAAGGACGGGGGATTCCAGGCAGCACCATGGAAGCCCCAAAACCCAGAGATGGGAAAGCCCAGACGCTGTGTGGGGATATGCGGTGGTTAGATGAGGCTGGCGTCTGGGGTCGGAGGGAGACGGGACCGGCGGGGGGACGGGAGCCGGCAGCACAGGGGAAGGGCGGTTCTGACAGGGAGCCACCTGGCCAGGGCCCAGGAAGCCATCGCCAGAGGCACGGACCACAGCGAGGGTCTGTGTGCGAACCCAGGAGGCGCAGTGGCGGGCATGGTGGGCAGGGGCGAGGGCCAGTCTGGTGTAAGCAGCGGAGGGGGCCGTGGGAGGAGGACCGATGTGGGAAAGGGGAGGTGCCCCACTGGAGGCAGGTCCTCTGGTGGACATGCCATCAGGACTTCCCGGGGTACCCAGGGCGCGGCATGGCCAGGGGGAAGAGGAAAGTTGGGTGCGCTTGAGTACGGGGCTGAGGGCAATCGGGGGCCCAGGGAAGTCGTTTGGGTCCCGGCTTGCACCCGCCTGCCGTTGTCTGGGCATTTCCCTCCAAGCAGGTTCCTTTCCGCCCGGGCCTCACCCGTGCCCGCCGCCCTCTGGGGTGCCCCTTGGAGAGGGATAGGCAGGGAGAAGGTCTGGAAAACCCTGCCAGCGTGCCGGGGCTGGAGCCAGGGACTCCTGAGTTTCGATCCTTTCCAGACGCTGGCTTCCTCTGGGCTCTTGCTTTTCCGGTCAGGCCCGAGGCAGAGTCTGAGAGGAAGGTGCGGGGCCGCACGTTGGCTGTGGCGGAGGCTGGGCGGCCAGACAGCGGGCGCTCCGGCACAGGCCGGGCGGGCGTGGGGGCCCGCCAACGGGCGCAGGTCAGGTGGTGAGTGGGGGAGACCCGCCACGTGGCCAGCGAGGTCAGCAGGGGTTCATGGGAAAGGACTTGTCGGCCACAGGAGAGGACATCCTGCCTGCGTTTCCCTCTTCCTGTGGCAGGAGCCGGGGCCCGATTTAGCAGGGGCCACCTCTGAGCAGCTGGGCAGCCCGATAACCTGCCTGCCTGACCCCAGGCAGCCAGGGCAGCTGCCCGGCACAGCTGGCTGCACCCACAGCTGTGCTGAGCTGGGAGCCCAGCAGATGCCAGGTTCCCTCCTCCCTACCCCCCTCTGCTGGGGTACGCAGGCAGCCCCGCTCCCGCTCGGCCTCACCACCACTCGCTGCTTCCCAAGAATGCCTCCGCGCTGCCACAGAGCCAGGGCTCCGTGCCGGCAGCTCCCTGCACCAGGGCTGTGAGCTGGATCTTCAGTCAGGGCACATGCAAGAAGCAATCAATGAACGCACAAATAAGCAGTACAGCAACCCCCCCCCCCCCCCCAGGTAATTTAAACGTAAATTGAGAGCAGAGCCCTGAGCCTTCAGTCACCCAGCCAGCTCCTGGGGGTGTAGAGGTCCTCATGCTGGGTTCCCAGGGCGTCCCACCGAGCACGCCCCAGCCCAGCGCCCTCGCTCCCTGCCCTCCCCGCCTCCTGAGGCTTGGGGAGCCCGGCCCGCCGGGTGCTGCTTGGGGCGGAGGGGCCTGCGGAGGGGGCGCCCATCCCCACCGCGGTGCCTGAGAGCCCAGAGCCAGGCTTCAGGCAGCTGGGGGAGCTCTTATCCTCACCCACCGAAGCCGCCCCTCAGGGCGACCGGTCTTACCGAGGGAGGTGGTTTGTACTGAGCGGGGAGTGGGCCGGCGCACCTCACACTGGGACTGCCAGGCAGGACGCCCACCTCCACCCCAGCCACACACTGTGTGCTGTCCCCTTGTCCCCGAGGGCCTCCGTCCGGTCAAGGCAACCCCTGCTGGGATGGCGCCATGGAAAGGCCCTCTAGTCCTTGCATTACGGAAGTGAGTGCAGGGAGCCGGTCCTGATCTGGGGCCGGGCTGTGGGGATGTGCAGAGGGGTCCCTGGGAGGCACTCAGCTGGCGGGGCGGGGGCTGGAGGGAGGCAGCTGGCAGGTATCAATCTGGCTGGAGGGAGAAGCTCAGATTCTGCTCCAAACACTGGGGGAGCAGGGAACGCCTTAGGCAGGAGAGGGACTTGTGTTCTAGAAAGATCCTCTGACCATTTAGGCCTCAGGCTGTGGGGAGACACTGGTGTGTTGAGTCCAGGGAGGGACATGGAGCTCAAGAGGCGGGGCCGGGGAGGGACAGCCTGATGTCTGCAGTGGCGGGAAGGTGTCCCTTGCAAGGCGCCCAAGGGCTGAGTGCAGGGACTTTGCCAGGTGGCAGGGAGGAGAGGGGAAGCCTGTATCCCCAAACCCGTGTCCGATGCTGCTCTTGAGAGTGGCCGTGACTTGGCTGCCCTGGCTGTGGGGTGAACAGAGTCCGGGGTGCCTGGCGGGTGCCTGCCCCCAGGAGGGGGCCTCCCCGGAGGGGCGCAGTGTTCCCGGGTGTGGACGAAGGATGAGCCAGCCCATCGGCGTCAGGCCTTGACATTTCGTAAACTGCAGAAATGCAAGCATTGCAGACCCGAGTGGAGGAAATAGTAGCTTCCGTAACCCCGCGCC